CTTGCACACCCTGGTCGTTGAAGCCGTCTCGACATCGCCATAGCCCCAGCCGCGCGATGCTCTCCCTGAAGAAGCGTCTGGCAGTGCGGCCAGCCGGCACTGAGTCTCGCGGGGGGATCCGTCCGCTCCGCATCCTCCGCCGCACCGGTCACTGCAATGCCACGGCTGTCGCCAAGGATGCCGGTGAGCTAGTGAACACAACCCTCAACCTCCACCCATGATTATGCCTCATATCGTCAATGTCTCTGTGCTGACTGGATCAGGTTCCCATCAGCCCGAAAAGACGGTTACCCACGACAAGCCGCCCCCGGCTGACAAAGCCGACACGCTGGCGTCTCCTTGCGCCCAGCACAGCACCGTCAACCTGCCCGAGAAGGCCAACAACAACATGACCTCGAGCAGCTCGGCCAGCGTGCGCCCTCTGCCTGAGTTCTTTCAGGGGCTGCCGGCCGAGGAACGGGCATTCCTTGACCAGTGCCTCCGAGAGGAGTTGGCCTCTATGAGCCCTGAGAAATATGTCAAAGAGTATTTCATCGCGATGGCGGGAGGAAGCCACACCGGAGGAGACAGGGAGGACAAGCCTCGAGGACACATGCGGCGTGGGGACACTGACATTGACACTGGTGCTGGAGTGGGAGGTCAGGAGCTTGAGAGATGGCACCTAGCCGCCGTCCTTCATGAGCCGAGTCTGACAGAATGCATTTCTCGGGCGACTTGACGAGACTGAAGCAAGTGCTGAGCTGTCTTCGCGTGCCACTGACTGTCATTGAGCAGCCCGCTGACCACCACTGCTTCTTCCATTGCCTCGCCGAGCGTCTTAGGGAGCAGAGTGGTGGGCTTATCTCTCCGAGTCCACTGGAGTTGAAGCGTGTCATACTGCGTGTCCTTGAGCGACGCTTCGCGACGGCACGATGGTGGCAGGGAAACCAGCTGGTCCCTTTCAGCCAGTTGTTCCCAAACGCGCTGGCAGATCTTCGAATGATGGTGGCAGAGGAGTGGCTCATTCAGCGTGGGTGGAGGCGGCCGACATGGCCAAACGAGGGAGTGGTCGCGGCGTCTCTCTATGCGTTGGGGTTGAGCTGTGTCGTCATTACCTTCGACCGGACTAATCGGCGCCTGGCAACATACTTCTATCGCCCGGGCGACTATCGGCTGGGCCACGAGGTGTTTGATTGTCAGTCGGAGGCTTTCGACGAGCACTCTACGATGATCCTACTGAACCACGAGAACCACCATTTCGACTACATCTGTCGCAGGGGGGCGACACAAGAAGCGTTCCTCAGGGACTGGTGGCACACCTGTTTCGTGGCGGCGCACCGCCGCTGTATGACGAGCCGCCGGATGCCGTTGGCCAGCCGGCCGCTGGTGTGTCCGTTGCGCCTCGGGTGGGCGGCGGCGACTCAACTATTATCTCATGCAACATTACCTCGAAGGCTTCTCCGAAGCGAGACAACAACGGCAAGAGGTGGGTGGATGGGGCACGAGACATGACAGACAATCTGTCTCAATTCGCTGCCTCGCCTTTGTTTTGCAGCACCCTGTTCGCCATTGTTATGACTCGGATCACAGCAGCCTTCTCAAGCTGCAGCTGCACCTGCCGACACACATCACAAGCGGCCATCGAGTCGGAGACCGAGCTCGACTTCTCCGCCGACCTCCCGTGAGCGTCCCC